ATAGATGTTTCCATCAGAGTGCGGAGGAACAGATATCGTATAGTTTAATATATATATTTAATGGTTATGTTAGTTTTGTTCTCTGTTAAGTCTCAGTATCACCAGCGTGTGTGTGTGTGTGTGTGTGTGTGTGTGTGTGTGTGTGTGTGTGTGTGTGTGTGTGTGTGTGTGTGTGTGTGTTTCAGTCGGAAATACACAACGGTGTACAGCGTGGTGTTGTCTCACCCCTTCGCTCTGTGTGAGATCAACTCCATGAAAATAAAGAACACTGGAAATCGCTTCTACAGGCAGGGAGAAATCCACCTGAAATCTGTCTGCCTCTCAGAGATCCCCTCTCAAAGGTACACACACACACACACACACACACACACACACACACACACACACACACACACACACACACACACACACACACACACACACACCAGTGGTGGATTGTAACCATGTGGATTTATAGGTACAACATTAAGCTACTTGACATGAGTAATTCCATTTTATATAACTTTATACATAAACTCCACTACATTTCAGAGGCATTGGAGTTTTTACATGACAACATTTGTTTTGGTCATTTTTAGATCACAATTTTGTTTGTATATTCTTGTCCTGTGAAAGCAGGTATCTCCAGATGTGTTGATCTCTAAAGGGGCCCTATTGTGCTCATTTTCTGGTTTCATAATTGTATTTTGTGTCTCTACTGATAGTCTCATTCTGCCTGTGCTGCAGCACTAAAACCTATACAACACACTACGGGAAAGAGACAACTCCAAAAAGCATAATAGACCCTTTTTTGTTGAAGTTTGAAAATAAAAACAAACGCAATACTTGTGAACCATGCTGGTGAAGTTCTATTTTGACTGAAGATGTGTTGTCGAATACTTCCTCATCTGTTATTTAACATCATAATTGTTTTCTGCTTTAAAGAAAAGGTTAGAAATGTAGACTATATCTCTGTTTCAGCGGAGAGGAGCCGCTGTGTGTGAACAACATCGACATCAGACGAGGAGCTCCGTGGTCACATGACTTTGTGCAGGTGTGTGGCTCCTCCTGAAGAAATTAGACCTTCTCTTGAAATATGCTTTTAATAAAAAAGACTCGGTTCATATTGTGAAGAAGAACTGCAGCTCTGAAATGTTATCTGGTTAGTTACAATATCTATAATCAGGTATTAGGATGATCAAGGTTTATGATATATTTTCTGACTTAATGGTGCTTCGAGAAACTTGCCATGGGGGAACCGTAGCGATTTTTGGCCTTTGCAAACCCTTTACATCAGGGGTGTCAAACTCAAGGCCCGGGGGCCAAATCCGGCCCGTGACTTCATTTTATGCGGCCCCACAAGAGCTTGCAAAGAATATAATATGTTTATTATACGGTTACATCCCGATTTACAGAGGCACGTTGCCCATAAACTACATGTCCCACAATGCATCTGAAATTATGCCTTTTGCTTTTTTCCTTAGAATTTGACTTTTTATTCAAAATGTCTCTCTTTTTTTTTATAAATGTCTCCAGAATGTGGCTTTTCTTTTTAAATCATTTTGTGACATGCACACTGAAGAGACTTGCAATTATTTGTGAAGTATGCAAAAACATTTTCCAGACAATTTTAAAAGGACAAAGAGTTGAGAAATGCCTGCCGACTATTTCTAAACTGTTGTTTAACGGGTCAGATCCAGACAATGTGACGTAACAAAGTTATAGTATTCTCTGTAACACTGAATATAAGTTGTGGGAAGAAAAAAAAAACATGAACAGTCAAATGTAATCACATGAAGTCAATGTCTTACCTTTATTGTTGGTAAGATGAACACTTAATACATCTGTTGAATTATCTCAGAATACATTTGTCATACATTTAATATGCTGGTAACGTGAAAGCCATCCCTCTGTCCTCAGGTACATATATGAAAGTGTCATTAAGATGTATTAAATGACAGCATGTCCCTTCTTTTTTCTTTGAGAATTGTGACAGACTCAAAATATTTGTTCATTTAGAAGTTTATTGGTTCACTTGGTGTTTACAAAAATCTATTATATAACATCTTTGCTCATTGAAATGCTGAAATATCTATATTTTCTAATTGAATACATGTGATGGGTCCCCCTGCTTCTAAGATTTTAAGGCAGATTTGGTGGCATTAATGCTTCTTCAGAGGCTTTAAATCATGACCAGATGACACAAAGAACTTACAAATTGTGGACATAACATACATTTGAGTTATTATGGTGATGAATATCAGCTTTCCACAAGTATTGATTGGTAAAATATATCAATATTATCCTCATCACTCAGGCTGTCAATGAAATAGAGAGAAGGAAGGTCTTCTCTATGCTCAGGCCTGATGATGTGAACTGAGGTGAGGGAGGTGGAGACTCACTGCTGATGATGATAAAGTGTTTCCAGGAGAAACTGCTCTCACAGTTTGGGAGTGTCGGTGGGAGCCAGCGGCGCTCTGCCCCTCAGGAATCGAGGTGGAAGTTCCCCGTTACCATCCCCTCCTGCAGAGATAATATCCAAGCTTCTGTTAGGATCTCATGGTCACAAAACAAACATTGCATTTCATTTAGATGACACTTCTATCCAAAGCGACTTCAAATAAGTTGGATCAACCATGAAGATATGCTGCTGTGTCACTTCAAAACTAGATAGAAACTTCAAAACATTGCAAATTGCAATCAGTGTCTTCATCTTCTACTAAATACATGTACATTTAATACCATTCATTCATTACCATTATGAGGTACTTTTACTATACTTGATTACTCCACTTTCCACTCCAGGTAAACATTTACTTTTTACTCCAGTAAATGTATCTGACAGCTGGAGTTAATTTGCAGCTTCAAATGTTAAAAAACAAGGCATTGTATACATTTATAAAACTTGATACTGTACTGCAATTTAAAGTATCCAACAGTACTATTGTGCTTGATCTCTAGCTATAATATATGGGCAGAATGGTCACTTTCAGAGAGTTGTAATATCAAACCCTACCAATTAATGTTACTTGGAGTGCATGTTGCTGTGACCCCCCAGCTCTGAAATGTGATTCTCCACCTGTGATTGGACGAGGGCTGTTTTTGGGATAGTGGGCCGGCAGGGGGGGGTGAAGCATGTGAGGGAGAGGGGAGAGGGAGGCGGGATGAACAGATGAGCAGACAGACAGCCAAATTGCGGCCGGGCACACTGGACTAATAGCTTTCTTTTGGACATTTCCAAGCCGTAATCCTCTTCTGATAAGGACACAGCTGCTGACCTGTCGACCTCTCTGCTCTTACAACCTAATAAATTGTACCTTTAACGCGCGCGCACACGCACGCACGCACACACACACACAGTACACACTCTGACATCTTTTGTTACTTCATATAATACTTTTTCATGCCCTTGATTTCCAGTACAAATCAAGTATCCCCAAATGAGTTGATTGGGCGAAGGGGTTGCCAAAGCCAAGAGTGAAGCACCGCTAGCTGGTGAGGATGGCCCAATTCCAATCCACCCCCTACACACTACCCCTCCGTTTGCGCGTTCGCGTGGAGGGTCCGCCACATTAAGTGCTGTTCCAAACTAACGAGTGTGGAGCATCAGGGACGTGCACAGGTACGGGCAATGTTTGCCGGACAATGGGTTTGCATTTGTGGTCTCTGACCTGCCCCTCTGCAGAGAGTGTAGAGTTTAATTTTTGTTCTTATGTGTGGACTCAGCATGATAAGCACAATTAGTATTGTAGCGTTCTCGCTGTGGTAATACACCTTTGTTTAATTGTTACACTGCCAAAATAGAGTAGTTGTTGTTAATGGTACACTGTGGTGATTGACATTATTCACCCACGGATCTATGGGTTGGGGTATTGTTCTGCACGGACATTTTATTGAACCGGACTTGCTGTTTCCGCCGGTCTTCGCTTCCCAGGCATGAAGTTGTTTAAAATGATTTTCAGATGCTAAATAAAATCTAGCTTGTACCTTTGATACCCCGCCTCCGACTCCCATCTCTCGGCACCACAACACTGCCAAAAGAGTGTAGTTGTTTTTATTTCATATTGCACTACTTAGAACTTCATTGTTGAGGCTACAATAAAGATGCCTGCCAGGGACGTGCACAGCTACGGGCTAATGTTGCCCGGGCAACGGCCCATTTGCCATTTTTGTCTGACCTGCCCCTCTGGAGAGAGTGAGAGTTTTTTTTAAATTTTCTATTGTGGCCGAATCAACATGATAAGCCCACAATTAGTATTGCAGCGTCTCGCTGTCATCGGTGACATCTGCCCCCAGTCACGTGACTTTGTTTACAATCTTAAGGCCGCTACACACCAACCTGAGACCACCCTTTCTAATTTCTCTAACTCCCCTCCTCGACTCCCCTCCTCGACTCCTATCCTCGAGACTTAGTCCCGCCCACAGGAGATTCGAGCGGAGGAGCCGAGGAGCCGAGGAGGGGAACCGAGGAGAGAGGAGGGGAAGCAGCAGGCGGTTAGAG